CCTTTCTCGTGACTTAAATTTGCCAACCCATCTTGCCACCCCTCCCGGCCACCGAAATCTGCCATCTACATTTGCCACCCCTTCCTGGCGCCCCATCCTGCCACTCCTCCCCGCCACTCAAATTTGCCGCCCGATTCTGTCGCCCCTTCCTGCCGCCCCATCAGGCCACCTCATGTTGCCAACCAATTCCGCCGCCCCATCCTGCCACCCCATCCCGCCGTCGTTTTTAATGAAAAATGTCCGCAATGAAGACCCCCAATGTTAACCTTACCACGCAGCATCCAAAATATAAACATGAAATGAACATAAATATAAACCTACAAAAAGCCTTATAGATCTTTAAAATTGTAATCTTAAAAGTCGCAAAATATTTCAAAACATCTCACAAGCCGGGGTTTCGCGGGAAAGGGTTTCGGAATTACAAAAAAGTTTCCCAGGATCAAAATTTTAAAAAGTCTTACAAGTGCAAAAAACATGCAAAAATATGACAAAATCTTGAAAAATAGAAATACAAAGAAATTTATGCAAAACATGTGAAAACACTCTCGTGGTGAGCGGAATGGTCAGCTGTTGTCAGCTGCTGTCAGTTGCTGTCACACATGACAATTGCGTGGCAAGTGTGTTCAAAAAAGAAAGATTTTGTTGTTGTCACACATGATCAATTGTGTGGGCTAGTGTGTCAATGGGTTGCTGAAAAAAGAAAAACATAGTTTAAAAGCTTAAAGATCAAAAAATATGTAAAAATATTTTTCTGTTTTCTGTTTTTGATTTTAAACTGTGTTTTTCGATGCTTGCGTGCGAAAAGCATAGGAAACCAAACCCGGGCTGATCCAATCCACCACTTAGTCTCAGTGAGCTCTGGCAACACCGTCGAGCACCCTTGAGTGGCTTTCTAGGCGGCACGGGCCTTCCCCGGACGAAACCATTTTGTGAATTCATCGCCCTGCAGATCATCCAGTGGGGCGACGTGAGCTGCCACTGCGCGCAAACTGGCGGTTCTTGTGAGCCGGTCTCGAGCTTGCCTCAATCGCAGTTGTCTCGACAGGAGTTATGTGGTTCCCTCGCGAGAATTTAGCGCCCCAAAATAGATCTACTGTGGTAGTTGACGTCTCTCAAATTTCTGTTGCGCTCTCACTTTTTTTGCAGCCTTGTGGCCCTAGCCGTGTGGTACATTTGAAGACATTGGGTGTTCTACGCCCATGGTTACTGTTTCATGGACGTGGCAATTTCTTGGACCGTGACCACATATATGCCGTGTTGAGATTATTATACAGTACAATTGTCTCTGGACGAATTCGCGCATCATGTCGAGTCATTCGCCGCTGGGAGCATGTCCCAAATCACATCCTTGGTCACCTCCTTGGCTCATTTGAGCTGGCAAGTACCGTTCTTTGAACGAATGGTCACGGCTGAACAGCACGCCACCGTGATGTTTTCGTGGCAACAAGCCGCCCAGGCTGGCCTGTCGATATTTCCGACGAACCTGGTGCAAAACGCATGCGCTCCAATCTGGCACTTCAGGGCGCCACGCGTGCCCAGACCAATATTGACCAGGTACTAGAGCGCGCAACAGCTCAGATTGGATCGGCTGTCTCTGTACAGGCCGGCTCTATTGCGCAGCAACATGTCCTGGAGGATGGGGCTATAGTGTTCCTGCCGCCGCCCAGGTGATTTCTCCTACGAGGTTTGTACCTACTGGGGAACACACGGCCGTGGTGATTCCCCAAATAAACAAAGCCTGTGGCCATTAAGGAGCTTTTACTTTGCGCAGCGTCTCCCCCGTCACTGTGGGACGTCGAACCGCTTGCGCGCTTCTGCAGCAATTTGCTGAGTCGGTTGGTTCTTCAGATGCTGTTTTATCTGTGAATTCTGATCCGTTGGCTGCCTCTATGATGAATAGGTTCACATCAAAGCGAGTTTGGAAACTGTGTTGGAATGTGGAATGGTCATGGAGTTGGGACAGTATTACGTGGCTGATGCATGGTTCTACACGCCCTCTTCAGGGTTGTCACAAATCAGCACGCCACTTCTGGTGCATTTTTCCACAGTGGATTCAACGAATATTTGTGGGCAATTGCCAAGCATAAGCGCTTGTCCACGGCGCATATATTTTGCCGAAACCTTCTTGCGATTTTCAGAAAGCACGCCTTATTGTTAATTGCAATCATAATAGTTGAGCACGGCCTTTGGGAAATGCTCCGGCCATTGTTCCCCTGGAGATGGCAAAAATAGTTTTGCCTTTCTCGTTGGATTCAGCCGGCGCTCGGACTATTCTATGTGACATTCAACAGATTATTGCTTCGTGGACCTGCGCTGAAACTGATCGATAAAGGGTGGCTGGTACAATCAGGCTGAACACACACGCATCATTGCAAGCGTTCGGTTTCTTTGGGACGCGTATTTACATCTCGCGGGCAGGAATCCCTTGTCTGTACTTCAGGCACTGAGGGTGTTTCGTGGCCGGTGGCGTGCGCAGCAGAGCAAACAATATCGCGCTATATCGCGCTGTGGTTTTGCAAGATCTTCCTGCGCTAGTTCAGGCGCTTCTTGGTTTCAGTGTCTTTCGCATTGGCCACGCCACCTATCGCCAAACCCAGGGAGCTAGCGTGGGTAGTCAATGGGCCCCGGTTCTATGTTCCATTGTGGCGCTACACCGAGAACATACATATCGTCAGTCGCTGACTTACCCGTTGACTGCCCTTTTCCTTGTTTTGGAATTTGGAACTCTATGCGCGTTCTATTGAACTGGAAACTGTTGAGGGTCATGATGCCCTCGGTTTCCACATTGATCCTCTCCAACAAAGCATCACGATACTGCAACCTTGGGACAAACGTGTTTGTCGTTCCACTCGTGGGGTTGGCCCGGACTGCCTGCGCGTATACGACTGATATGTACATATGTATATCCTTGGGAGCTTCAGATTGGGCAAATTCAGATGGACACATGCAGGTTGATGGCCTTTTTCGTTACGCGGCAAAATACGTTTTCCGTTTGGTTTTTTCCCCTTTTGAACTTTGATTGAGAATTTACCTTTTGCAGCTTTGAGTGTCAGTTTGTGAGTTTGTGATGCATGCCAACGTGACTTCTTTGCCTCCAGCCAAGTTTGTCGGTCACATGTTTATTCTTGGAGGCTCAAGTTTTGTGTACGCGCCTTTCCTCAATTCGGGTAGCCTGCGTTCTAGTGATGGAACGCACTCACAATGCGATTGCAGTGATGGTCCAAGTAGAGATGGCCCATGTTTTGATGCACATTTTGTCTGAATGCTCAGACTTCTTGATGGAACTGCAGATTCTCTCTTTGACAACTGATGGCTGGCCTGAGACCAACCTGAAATTATTTGCCGCGTGTCATAGCACCTCACCGCTATGACTAGACAACTAAATGTCCGGCGCGATCGATGGGCTCGCTCTGAACCTTTTGATCCTTCGTTGCCTGTGCGTATGGCTGCGATACTGAAGGACATGACCCAGTCCCTGCGGAACATTCAGGACAAATTTTGTGTACTCAAACATTTGCGAGATGATTTGGCTATGTATCCGATGACAGAACTCCACCCAGTTCCCTGGAAGCCGAGTTGCCTCCGCGTCCCTACCCTTTTGGAACTGGACCTTCCCGTATTCTTCTTGAGTCGAGATCCGTCCTTTATCGGCGGTCAGAAAACCAGCTCTCATTTCTCTGTTTTCACGTTGACTTTTGTGTTCCCGCCTGCGCGATTGTATCAACAAATAGTAACTCTACACTTCTATTTTTCCATTTGGCCGTTTAGCTGCTCAGTTTTGTCAGAATGCCAGGACCCTAGAACATGTCTGACGCAATAAGGATCAGGTGTTTTCACATCTGGATTTGCTGTGCCAGCACGTGGCTGATCAATTTCAGATAATTTCAGGTTGTCAGAACCTTAGACTTATCACGTGACTCTACGACCAACCCGGAATGCACGTATACCAACCCGTTGCCAGGGTGTCCGCTCCCTATCGGTGTGAATATTTGTCAAGATGTCCGCTCATCATCCTTCAGTTACCTTGTCAGAATGTCTGCTCCGTAAACTTGTCAGGGTGTGCGCTCCTTATTTTGCTAGTGGCAAAATCGCTGGAGCGTTTGCCAGATGTTGAACAGCAGGGGCAGCAGGGGAGCGGTGGGCATTCTTGGAGTCACCGCTCAACGAAGACACTTCAAGTTTGCTGTGATATGCAATATTGACGCGGATAGCATATACCTGCGAGAACGATCCTTTGAACTGTTTTCACGCTGCCACTCTATTTTATGTGTATCAGGTTCAAGACGTACTTGTAAAGACGGTGTCGCGCGCGCACGTTTACCAAAAAAAGATGCTGAGCATTGACATCGTTTGACCGTTCCTCTTCCCAGTGTGTGGTTGTGTGTTTGCGGTTGCGATCTGGCACTTGCCATTGCATTTGAGGTCCGGTAGCGCCCACTGCAATCTGGCACTTGTGGTTGAGGTCCAGCAGTGCCCACTGCGATCGGGAGCTGCGCA